CCCCGAGCAGCCCCCCGCCATGTGTGAGATGGGTGAGGATGGAGGGGGCAGGAGGAGAGACGCGAGATGGGTAAGGGCAGCAGGGGATGGAGCAAGGAGGGGACAAAGATGCTGGAGGGGACAGGAGATGGCTCAAGGGGACAGGATGGACCAAGAAGGGGACAGGAGATGGCTCAAGGGGACAGGATGGAGCGAGGAGGGGACAGCAGATGGACCAAGGGGACACAGGATGATGGGGAGGGTGACAGAAGATGGACCAAGGAGGGGACAAGGATGCTGGAAGGGACAGGAGATGGCTCACAGGGACAAGATGGAGCGAGGAGGGGACAGGAGATGGCTCAAGGGGACAGGAGATGGACCAAGAAGGGGACAGGAGATGGCTCGAGGGGACAAGATGGACTAAGGAGGGGACGGGAGATGGACCAAGGGGACAGGATGGACCAAGAAGGGGACAGGAGATGGACCAAGGAGGGGACAAAGATGCTGGAGGGGACAGGAGATGGCTCACGGGGACAGGAGGACGGGCCAAGAAGGGGACAGGAGGATGAAGCAGGGCTGGGGGGGCACAGGAAGATGCCGGTGAGGGACAGGAGGACACGGGGGGGACAACCTGCACCAGGAGGACTAGAAGGACACTGGAGAGACAGAGGGGACAAGGGACAGGCAGGCTGCTGCTCCCTGAAGATGGCTCCAGGGCCTTAAAATCAGGGGGCCAGGGCCAGGGTGGCCCTTCCCAGGATGCCCTGAGGTGGGTCCCTGGGCAGCCACCGCCACCCACGGGGCCCCGGTGCCACCCCTTGCTCACGTCCATGCGTTTGCTCTCATAGAAGTCGGCCGAACGCCGGTCCTTCACCATCTTCTCAATGATGTCGCCCCGGCTCCAGCCGTCGAAGACCACTTTGCCGTGCTGGTACCCCACGTCCTGCGGGGAGAGCGGCCGCAGCCCATCGGTGGCCCGGGCACCCCAAACAACGGCCTGGGCTACCCCAAACGACAGCCCGGGCACCCAACTGATGGCTTGGCCATCCCAACTGATGGCCCAGGGACACCCAGTTGATGGCTGTGGCACCCAACTGATGGCCAAAGTACCGCAAACGAGGATTGGGATGCTCAACCTAGTCAGGACACCCCAAATGATGGCCAAAAGCACCCCACTGATGGCTGGGGCACCCAACCAATGGCTCGGGCACCCCAAATAATGGCCACTGATGGCCCAAGCACCCCGAATGATGGCTCAGGCACCCCCAGATGATGGTCCAGTCACTCCATTAATGGCTGAATGATGGCTTAAGCACCCAACTGATGGCCAGGGCACCCCATCAATGGCCAGGACACCCCAACCGATGGACCAGAGCACCCCCACATGGTGGCTGGGACACCCAATCGATTGCTGGTTGACCCTACCTGATGGCCAGGACACCCTGTTCATAGCCTGGTCACCCGACTGATGGCAAGGGCACCCCAATCCACATCTGGGGCACCCCATTAGTGGCCACAGCACCCTGTCAATGGCCAGGGCACCCCAATCTACAGCCAGGACACCCCAACTGATGGCTGGAGAACCCCAACCCACGGCTTAGGGCACCCCATTGATGGCCAGAGGCACCCTAAACGCTGGTCCAGGCCACCCCACCGGCCTCTCCATCCCCCGACTCACGTAGATCTCGTCGAACTTGCCGAAATCCATGGTCTTGAAGCGGTCGATGGGGGGGCGGATGTACTCGCAGTAGGAGCTGGACTTCACCACCTCCAGCTGCCGCACGCACGACACGTAGGCCAGGCGGGACTGGATCTCCGCCATGTCGGGCACCTGAGAGGACAAGGTGCTCAGCACCCTGCCCGCACCATCTCACCACCATCCCCGCGTCCCACCGGTCCTCACCTTGACTTTTTCAGCCCAGGGGTTGAGACGTTTCCAGAGAAGCCACCAGCCAGAGAGGCTGTCCCCGTAGTTGCACAGGTCTGTCTCATCCTGGCTGCCCACGTCGATGGCGATCACCGTCTTGGCACCCATGTTGCGGGCGATGTCGGCTGCGGGGCGGGAAAGGAAGAAGCTGGGTCGGCAGCGGCGCGGTTTCCCCCCGGTCCGAGGCCACGGCGAGAGGCGGTGGCACGAGCGGAGGAGGGAAATGGGGGCAAGGGCTTGTCCCCGAGCCTGGGCTGGATGGCAAAGCCATGCTGGGGCTCGTGGTGGGACGAGCAGCGTCCCATGGGTGCCGGAGTTGGGGGCAGGAGCCCAGCGGCAGGACGTGTCGGTGGGGAGCAGAGCAGTCATGCAACCCGGTGCATGTGCTGGGGCGACGGGAGGGCACAGGCAAGTTGCAGCATCTGTGGTGGGATGCGAAGGAGCGCGGAGATGCCCCAGGAGGACACCCAGTGGTGAGGACACCAGGAGATGACGCGAGGTGGATGGAGGTGGCTTGACACGGTGCCGAGGACATCAAGAGACGAGGCAAGATGGAGGAAGGTGGTTTGCGTGCGAAAGAGGATGGAGATGCTCCAGGAGGGCGCCTGGCGCTGAGGACACCAAAAGACGATGCAAGATGGAGGAAGGTGGCTTGGAAATGAAGGAGCACAAAGATACCACAGGAGGCCACCAAATACCAAAGGCACCAAAACATGGTGCAGGATGGAGGGACGTGGTTTGCATACGAAGAAGGATGGAGATGTCCTGGGAGGGCACCCGGTGCCAAGGACACCAGATGACACAGAATGGAGGTGGCTTGCATGGGAAGGAGCATGGAGATGTTCTGGGAGGGGACCTGGCACTGAGGACACCAAGAGAGGGTTTGAGATGGAGGGAGGTGCCGGGCACGGGAAGGAGCATGGAGGGCACCTGGTGTCAAAGACACCAAGAGGTAGTTTGAGATGACGGGAGGTGGCTTGCACATCAACGAGGACGGAGATGCCCCAGGAGGCAATCTGGTGCTGAGGGCACCAGGAGAAGGTGAGGCAGGATGGACAAAGGCGGCTTGCACGTGAAGGTGTCCCAGGAAGGCACCCAGTGCCACCAAGAGATGGTATGAGACAGAGGGAGGTGACTTGCCTGTGAAAGAGCATGGAGGACACCCGGTGTCAAAGACACCAAGAGCTGCCACAAGACAGATGGAGGTGTCTTGTAGGTGAAGGAGGATGGAGACGCCCAAGGAGGGCACCTGGAGCTGAGAACATCCAGAGAGGATGATGTGAGATGGACAAAGGTGGCTTGCACGTGATGAAGCATGAAGATGCCCCAGGAGGACGCTTGATGCTGAGGACACCAAAAGATGGTGCAGGATGGAGAGAGGTGGCCTGTACCTGCAGGAGGACAGAGGTGCCCTGGCAGAACACCCAACGCCGAGGACATCAGGAGAGGATGATGCGGGATGGAGGAAGGTGGTTGGTAGATAAGGAGCATGGAGATGCTCTAGGAGGGCACCCGGTGCCGAGGACACCCAGAGATGGTGCAAGATGGAGGGATATTTTTTGCGTGTGAAGAAGGATGATCTGGGAAGCCACCTGGTGCCGATGACACCAAGAGACGACGCAAGACTGTGCGACTTTTTCGGCACATGACGGAGGATGAAGACGCCCTGAGAGGACGCCCAACAACGAAAACGCCAAGAAGATGCAAAACCAAGCAAGATGTCCCAAATCCAACCTCAACGTCTCCATCCATTGAGGACCCATCTCGTGGTGGCCGTGCAGCCCCCACCCAACCGCCCGCCACCGCCCTCGGGGCCAGACCTGGCGCCGTATGGGCTGCCGGCCCGGTTGGGCGGTGACGGTGACGGCGTCGAGCTGCTACTTGCCTGGCAGGTTGTTGATGTAACCACCGTCCATCAGTAAGTTGCCGTCCTTGGGGTCGCAGAGTGGCGGTAGGTAGCCAGAAAGGGTCATGCTGGCTCGCACGTACCGCCAGAGCGAGCCTGCGCCGGCGGGAACAAACGCAATGAGCACGGCCTGCCCGAGACCCCCCGTTGGGGGGCTGCCCCTCGCCCCTGCCTGCGCCCGGGGCCGTCTACACCCCACGGGTGCCCAACGGGCACCCACGGGTGGCAGAGGAACCCATCGCGCGCCCTGACTGGCAGTTTGCAAAGCCCAGGTGGCTCAACTTGGGATGGGACGTGTTTTTTTTTTTGGGGGGGGGGTTGAGGCCGGTGGCCCCGGCGAGCGAGATGCTGACCTGGGACATTGTTAACATAGCAGCCGTCCACGAGCCAGTGGCTGGCCTTGGGGGCGCAGAGCGGAGGCAGGTAGGGGGTATAAGACGCACTGGCTCGGACGTAGCGCCAAAGGCTGCCTGCCGGAGGGAGAGGACACGGTCACGGCCACGGGGGGACGGGACGTACCCGAGCACCCGGCGGGAGGTGACCGAGGATGTTGGCACCGCGCCGGTGGGACATTTGCAGCCCCGAGACCAAGGGAAAGCACCTTGGCCATGCCGGGATGGGGAAGGATGGACGGGCGAGACGCTCGCCGGAGGGTTAGGGGTGGTGAGGGGGGATTAGTTGGCGTTAGAGGCCAGAGGAGCAGGCAGAGCGAGAGCCAGGCTGCTTACGAGCCACCGCGTGCGCCCCGTGGACGGCTCAATGTCCCAGGTGAGCTCCGACACCAGGCGAGGAGGAGGGGCAGCCACCGCCCCGTCCCCGCCACCCGCAACGTCCCCGCCGCCGCCATGTTCCCCACCACCGCCGCGGCATCCCCACCACCGCCACCATGTCATCCCCACCACCACGTTGTCTCCACCGCCACCACCACGTTGTCTCCACCGCCACCACCACGGCACCATCCCCACCACCACGGCATCCCCAGCACTGCCACCGCGTCCCCGTGCCCCACAATGCCGTCAGCGTGGGTTACTGGGGTTAGTGGTGAGCAGATATGTTAGAGGGGACATGCATGCCTGGGGTGTCAGGATGCAGCTCCGCACCCCGATCGTGCCCCCAGTCCCACTGAGGACGTGGGGCACAGCCAGACCCCCACAGGGAGCTGAGACTGGTGGGGTCACCAGCACCAGGTGGCTCTGGGAAGCCACCACTGCCCGGGCTCACCATGAGCCCTCCAAGCTCTTTCCTTGCCATGCCAGGATGCGTCCTCCCCTTGGCACGTGGCAAACCTTCCCCCGTGGGGCAGCGGCACCGTTTTGGGGCGCCGCTGAGGAGGGTCCCCACAAGCGGGGATGCGGTGGCACCGGAGAAGCTCCCCCAGCATCCCGGGGAGCTCTTACCGTCCGTGTGCACCCGCATGGCTGAGGCCGTGATGTCGGTCGTGACGTTGAAGTAGGGAAGCCACAGGTCCTGCGGGGACAAGACGGGGTGGGTGACGCCGTGAGGACATTGGTGGGTGGGTGGGGAGGCGGTCGGAGTCCCCACCATGGGTGGGTGCAGCCCCGGGGGGTGTCTGCGCGCCGCACCTCGATCTGCTTGTCCTGGAAAACCTTGTTGATGCTGGCGTTGAAGGCTGAACCCGAAAACATGGAGGTGATGGGGTAGGTGAGGTCCAGGACGGTCTCGAACACCGAATTCATGCACTGGAGGAGGAGGAGAAGGATGAATAAGAAGGAGAGAAGGAGGAGGAGGAGGAGAAAAAAAGGAGGAGAAGGAGAAGGAAGAAGAATAAGGAGAGAAGAAGGAGAAGGAGAGGAGAAGGAGAAAGAGGAGGAGGAGGAAGAAAAAGGAAAGAAGAGGAGAAAGAAGCAGCAGCAGAAGAAAATGAGAAAAGGTGGTGGAGGAGGAGGAGGAAGAAGAAAGAGGAGGAGGAAGAATAAGAAGGAGGAGGAGAGAAGGCAAAGGAGGAAGAAGACGAAGAAGGAGGAAGAAGACGAAGAAGGAGGAAGAAGACGAAGAAGGAGGAAGAAGACGAAGAAGGAGGAAGGAGAAAAGGAGGAAGGAGATGCTTTAGAAACACCCCAGGCAGGGCTGGCCACAGGCAGGGGGCCCTTCGCCGGGGTGGGGGCCGTGGCACAGCACCCACCTTGGCCCACTCGCGCGCCCGCTGCTTGGTGCGGACGGCGCTGCGCTCCTCGGCGTAGAGCGCCCCGATGAAGGCGCCGATGGAGGTGCCACCCACCATGTCGATGGGGATCCCCGACTCCTCCATCGCTTTGATCACCCCGATGTGGGAGCAGCCCCTGGATGGATGGAGAAAACAAAGAGAAGGATGGACGACAGCGGGACCCCCACCCTGCCGGGTCGCATCCTGCCACGGCGCGGCACCCACCTGGCTCCGCCGCCCCCCAGGACGAGGGCGATGGTGTTGCCGGTGAGGACCCGTGCCAACCGGGAGAAGTCGCTGTGGCGGTCGGCGCTCTTCTCAAACACCTTCTCGTACATCTCCCGCTGCGGATGGGATGGACGATGGGCGATGATGGTGATGATGATGATGGTGGACCATCAAGGTCACCCAGAGGGACAGACGTACCAGTTTGGTGGGGCTACGGCGGGAGAAGACGCGCCGGGGACACTTGATATGGAGGTGGCCCGAGCACCAGCTACGCATGTTGAGCCACTCAACGGTGCGGGAAGGACTAGGACCGTCCTCACGGTGTAGGAGGACCAACTGCTTCAGCGCACGCACCGCCGTGTTCTCCAGCATCTGCTCCAGCTGTAGAAGCCGTCAGACACCCGGCGCGGCGTTGTCCCACCACCACCTACCCCACGCCTCACCTCTCCCAGTGCCGGCTCTTGGTCGCCCAACCCTACGATGAGGATGCAGTCGGCTTGACGGATGCAGCGCACGGTCCACGGCGTCAGGGTACAGTCGGTTTGGTACAGGACGATGCGGTGGATGTCCTCCTGCTGCGCCAGCCAGCCCGACAGGCGGTACTCCTGGATGCTGCCAAGATGGAGGGATCAGCCGGCGGCATGGTGGTGGGTCACTGGTGATGTTCCTCCCAATGGGAGTTACCTGTCCAGCGCCGAGGAGCCGAGACGGGCACGGATGATGTCGCTGGTGAGGAGCAGCGTGGGACCTGGGAGAGGTGGGGACATGGTCACCATCATGCCATGGGGCTGTGGTCACCACCATGGCGTGCGGCTCTGGTTGTCACCACGCCATGGTTGCCACCGTGTCATGGGACTGTGGTCACCACCATGCCACGGGGTTGTGATGGTCACCGTGCCACGGCGCCCACCACGCCACAGGACCATGGCCACCTCCATACCACCGGGCTGCAGTCACCACCACACCAGGTCACCGGTATGCCACAGGACCACGGTCACCTCCACACCACGGCCACCACCGTGCTGCGGTCACTCACCAATGGCATTGAGCGCATGCTTGAGCTCCAGCGTGAAGGCAGCCGTGGGCACGTCGTCGCACACCGGCAGCACTGCCACCGTTGACAGGTTGCTGGTGGGGTTGGTGGGCTCCGAGCTGGAGGCCATGCCCAAGCCGGAGCCTGCATGGACAGAGACAACGGGGTGGTGGACACCTTCCTGGAGAGGGCACCCCCACGGCCCCAATCCCTTTGGGACCTACTTGCAAATGGCCCGCGGAGCTGCTGAAGGTTTCCCAAGATCTTCTGGCTCAGGAGGTGAATGAGGCGGGTGACAACCTGCAGGGACGAGGATGAGGACGGCCATCAGACCTGGCAGGGCTTCCCAAACTGAAGACTCATTAACACCTCAAACTGGTGTCCTGAACGCCTTTTTGGGTGCCACCACCACCCCCCATCCTTGGGGACCTCAGAGAGGGACAACCCTTCAGCACATCAGCCCTTCTCCTCCAACAGCTCTAATCACGTCTTTAATTCCTTAATTTAAGCTCATTTTAACGAGTGTTGCAGCCACCAGCTGGGGGGGGACACACTCCTTCCACGGGAAGAGGGTGCAGACCCCGGGGCGGGGATCTGGGGGTACCTGGGGGTATCTGCTAAGCTCGTTTTAAACGGGTGTTCCAGCCACCAGCTGGGGGGGGACACACTCCTTCCACGGGAAGAGGGTGCAGACCCCGGGGCGGGGATCTGGGGGTACCTGGGGGTATCTGCGCTTGATGTTGTTCAAGGTGCCCTCAGGCAGCTTGGCCAACTCCGTGTCCCGGACCGCGTGGACCGTGGTGGCACGGGGCTGCCGGGTGAGGGCTTCCACCTGGAGAAGAAGACATATAGCCAAGATGTATCGGCCGGACGTGTAGGGTGTCCATCGCTTGGCCCCGACATGGCTCTCACCACGCCGATGAGGTCCCCGCGCCCGTACTCCCCGATGAGCTCCTTCTTGCCGCTGCCCTTCTGGATGACGGAGCGGAGACGCCCGTTGAGCGCGATGTAGGTGCAGTCCGACTTGTCACCCTGCCTGGGGGACACCACCAGTGGGACCTCAGCCCCCTGCCAAGGTGGCCCTCACCAAGCTGAGGTGGGCACCCAACCGTTGGTACCCACCTGTAGAGCGCCCGGCCGGCTTCCACCGCCATCCAGTCGATGGCAAAGTCCATCTGGCGCACAAAGGGTGACATACGGGCAGCCACGGTGTGGGCGACGCTCAGCACCACGCTGGGCTGCTCCCGCATGATCCTATGGGTCAACAGCAGTTGGGGGACACGGTGGTGGCCCCAAGAGATGCCACCACAGCGCTCACCGCAGGAATCCCCTTTGGCATCAACCCTTTGCCCCAAACCTCCTCCGCCGGTGCCGGGACTCACTCATAGAAGTCCGATTTGGAGATCTTGAGGAAGGTGCAGTCGCGGTTGGCCTTGATGGTGAAGATGAGGGGCTCGCCAGTGAGCACGGCCAGCTGTCCCACCATCTCGCCGGGCTGCGTCAAGAAGAGGCAGACGTCCTCCGCCTTGTCGATCATCCGCTGGTACACGTGCAGGCAGCCCCACAGCACGAAGTGGAGGCTCACGTCCTGCCGAAATGGCACCCTATCACCGTCGGGGGCCACCTGGGACCCCCCAGGCATGAGGGGTCCCACCAGCACCGCTTGGGGTTTCTTCTGGTCCTCTTCACAGGGTGTTTTGCACCCTCCAGATGGCTCTGGGGATCATTCCTGCCCCCACCATCCACGGGGCAGGGGTAGGAGGAGTAGCACCCCGTGGAAATATAGGGCGGGGGGAGCAAGACGCCACACCAGCTCCTCGAAACCCAGACCCACCTGGTCCCCTTGACGGGCGATGACTGTCCCAGCTTTGGCGTGATGGAGCAAGACACGGTTGTTGAGGAGAGAAGGGTCCTAGAAGGAAGAACAGCATCGCATAAGGTGGTGGGGACCATCATGAGGAGATGGGGACCACCAGGAGGAGACAGAGGACCACCAGGAGGCCGCAGGGATCACCACAAAGCAATGGGGACCACCATGAGGAGATGGGAACCGACCATGAAGTGATGGGGACCACCACAAGGAGATGGGGGACCACCCTGAGGCCATGGGGACCACCATGAGGAGATGGGAACCCACCATGAAGTGATGGGGACCACCACAAGGAGATGGGGGACCACCCTGAGGCCATGGGGACCGCCATGAAGTGATGGGGATCCACCACAAAGCGATGGGGACCACCACAAGACCACAGGAACCCACCATGAAGCAACAGGGACCCCTATGAGGCAACGGGGGACCAACATGAAGTGACGAGGGACCACCACGAGATGACGGGGGACCACCACAAGGCAACAGAGACCAACATGAAGCGACAAGAACCACCACAAAGCCACGGGGGACCACCACGAAGCGATGGCAACCCACCACAATGCAACAGAGGACCACCACGAAGCCACAATTCCTCGGTGCCGGCACCATTTCTGCCCTCACCTCCACCTTCATGAGCTTGACCAGCTCCCGCTTGGCAGCCTCGAAGATGGCGCTGGTCTGGCGGCCCTGGTAGGGTCCGAAGGGACAGTCCCCCGTTGCCGAATCGTCCTCGCAGTAGTTGTAGTGGTAGACACCAGACGGTTGCTCCTCCACCGTCACTGACTTGCGCTCCTTGGGCTCGTGCGAGACGGACTGCGGGGAGATGGGATAGCTCCGGCACGTGTCCGCGGCCACCCCAGTGGGGAGGATTTGGGTGGTGTTGCCGGATCCGGCCTTACCCGGGAGAAGGCGGCCAAGGCGCCGGTGCTGTCCTCCTGCAGCGACACCGAGATGCGGCCGCGTTCGTAGGCCATGTCGAAGTCGGAGCGGGGACCCTTCTGGATGCCTGCGACGGGAGGGGGGGGTCACCGGTGTTCAAGATGGGGACGCTGGGTGGGGGACACACAAGCACGGGGTGGGG